CCTGAGGAAGTGTGGCCCAGCTTGAGCAAGCTTGTTGTGAGGATTTCCCTGCTTACAAAGATGTTGTGTGAAACCAGAGCAGGTTTTGTGACTTCTTTGTCCATGGATATCGGTTTGGATCGCTCTCTCACCTTGCTCTTCTGTTTAAAAGGAATTGGAGTGGTGGGTTTGTGACCTAGTGCCCTGACCTGTCCTGACCTGGTGTGTTCACAGCAGCAAGAGGTGAAGGGCAGCCCTTGGTGTGTCTCACCGCCTTGGAGCTGAGAAGGAGAAGTCCTCCAGGTCTGAGTGTGAGCTCCCCTGCCCAGCCCCTTCGGAAAACCCTACTCGTGCTGCTGACTCGTGCGTTGGGTGGTAGGAAAACTGCATGGGGAGGTGGCCCTGATGGTTTGGGTGCTGGTGGCCTGCTGCAAGCAGGCAGAGGGGGCTGAGCTGCTGGTGAAGCCTCTCTGCCTCAATGCCAGAGCCTGCGGGGCCGGCAGCAGAGGGGCAGGCTGGCATCTGGCTTGGGCAGCGTGTTCGTCAAGTGAGTAAATGCCCACAGACACCAAGAGATGTTTCCAGTGTGTGTGTTTGCTTATTTATTTATTTATTTATTTACTGGAAAATACTGCCCTGGCCAAACTTAGACATCCCAGGAATGGTCCAGCTCTGATATTGTCACAGGAAAGGGTCAGGGTTGGGGTTCCTGGAAGAGAGTGTCCAAAACTTTGCAATAAGTGATCATGGCTCGCTTCAGGGGTGCATGAAATGCATGTGTAGTTTTGGTGAGAATTGGAAACAAGGGATTTGATGCTCTCCCGTTTCCAGGGTGAATGACCCGATTGCTGTGTTCCTAGCTGTCCTCATGTGGGCTCTCTAGTCTTTGCAAAAAGTACCAGCAGACAGTGACTATTTAATTACTATTCTTTGTTTTGGTTTGGTTTTCTTTTTTTTAGATCTTAGGGATTCTCAGTCTTTTGTGACATGTGGAAAACTGTTTCTCATTCAGCCCCAGTAGGATGTGCCCTGCTTGTCCCGACAGAGACGGTTCAGAGTAGAGGCTTCATTTGATACAGGCGTAAAAACGGGGCACCAGGAGCCTTCCCTTGCTGAGAGCGTTTCTAACCTCCCTCTGAGTAGTAGGAGCCAGTCCTTCCTTCTCTCTCTTCTCCCTCAGGGGCTGTGGGTAAGTTCTGGGCAGGCCTTGGCAGCGAACTCTGCTAAGTCTGATCTGTCCTGGCCGCAAATCTCCTGTCCCAGGGGACTCTGGCAGGACTGGAGTGTCCAGGCCTTGGGAAGAGCACGATGAGTGTCCACCGCCTCTGCAGGCAGAGGGTCCTCCTTCAGCCTTGTTCGCAGGGAGCCAGTAACTGCTGGGCTGTGCTTTATTCCCTCGCAAACCGGGCACCACGTATGCCCTGTTTGCAGAACTTGTTTTCAAGGTGTTTGGTGTTTGCCTTCCGGCACTTCGTTGTTCGGAGTCATCTGTTCGTTCCCGGAGACGCGCTGACCACTCTCCAGGGACTCGCCGATGCTTTTCCGCAGAGCGGATGGGAGTGGGTCGATGAAACTTGTCAAACCTCTCAGCGCTCTTGCTGACCTCCACGTTCCTCCTGCGGGCGCGCTGGCACGGAGTATCCTTAGCTGTTCCAGGTGCTGTGGGGAAGGCACAAGGTCAGCTTGCGTTCGATGGCCGTCTGAACGTCAAACGCGTGCTCTGTCACCAGGATGCAGATGGCGGTTCCCTGACGATTGCGGCCAATACCCAGTTGCTTTGAGCGCTGCGGCGGGCTCCTCTCAAAGCCCTTCTCCGACTCCTTTTTGTCGGGCTTGTGTCTTCAGTACAGCAGCCAGAGCCGCTTGCTCGCTCCTCCTCCCCAGAGCTGTTTGCACCACAGGCTACACCACAGCCAGGTAGCGCTTATTTCGCACCCTTTCCCTCCCTGGGCACAGAGGCCCTCCTGCCTCTTCTGCACCCAGCGCCAGCTTCGAGAAGCGCCGGCCCGTCAAGGCGAGGTTGTACCCGTGGCTGTGTTTCAGCTGGCACAGGCCCGTTGCCTAACGACAGGGCGGCCGGCAACGATGCTGGAGCGAGCCTCCAGAGGTCGGCCTTGGGCCGCGTCGGCCGGGCCTGGGGAGGATTGCTCCTTGCTCCTTTTCCTTTGGGCTGTGTTACGTTTGGCTGGTGACCCTGCTCTGGCAGAGGGGCTGGACTGGGTGATCTCTAGAGCTCCCTTCCAACCCCCAGCGTTCTGTGACTCCGTGTGTTTGGACACCGACTGTCCGTGAAGCTGCTGCTCCCTCCGAACCCTGGGAGATTTGAGGTTTGCCTCTGCGAAACAAGATTTTCCAAGCATGTGTTTAGGCAGCAGGTAACTTCCTGATTCAGAGGAGATTACGCATTTGAAGAACTTTCATTTTCTCCACTTCAAAAACTTACCTTCTTAGGTTTCTAGAAAATACTGACCTAGTCGCAATGTGCCATGTTTCACTTGGATTTCTAAAATTTTCTGGCCCCTGTCTCCCCGCTGCTGGGCAGTAGTGCAGCTCACAGAAACCCACCCCAAGCTGGGTGGGACTGGGAGGAGGGGGCTCTGCTGCGGCGTGGCCGTGGTTTATACTTACCTCCTCTCTTTTGTGCTGTCTTTCATCCTGTTTTCGGGCGATGCTGAGGAAGAAGAGTTGCTGCTTTTCATTGTCCCTGTAGTCTAGGGGAAGGAAAGCCTGCACAGGCTGAGGAAGGGGACCTCGTTGCAGATAGAAACGCTGCTGATTAATTCATTTAAAGCACGTTTCGCTGTTTTCCCTGTTACTGTCCTCTCCAGAGAAGCCCAAACCTGAAGCTTCTCCCCTCTGTGGAGCCCTAAGCCTCGCTTGGTGAAAACTCTCTTCTGTGGCGCAGCAGCAGGCTTTGTTGGGTGCTACTGTCACCTGCTTTGTCAGGGTTGTTTCCTAGTGTTAAAGCCACGTGCTGGATCCCTGTGGCTTCCAGAATTTAATTTCCCATGTGCTGATCACTGCTTCAAATACGGAAGAGGCAGGGGGGGTTCTGCTGGGCTGCTGAATTAAAAAAGAGAAAAAATAAACAAGTGTTGCGTTTGATGCACAGGGGAGGTATGGTTACCCCGTGAGGATCCTCTCTCTGAGCTTAATGCTTTCTGGAAGGTTCTGTGCGAAGAGGGTGATCCAGGCAGAGGTTTCCTGAAACTGCTTAGTGCAGAGATCGGCCAAGGGCGTGGGCTGCTCGCAGGGCTGATCTCCTTCCAGCAAGCGTGTGCAGAGTCACCCAGGTAGGCCCTTTGGAAGAAATGGATTCTGAATTGCTAAGCCCATCAATCATTTTGTAGCTCATGACTGGAACCATCCCATTAGAAGCTTAATGTATCCTATATATTAGCAGCGGTGATGGGTGCTAAAGAAATTAATTCACGGAGCCGGAAGGAGCTTTGCAATTTGCTGATCTAGCAGTGGGGAAGAGCAGAGGGCTTAATTAGCGAAAGTGCCTTTTAAATGGAGATAAATGTGATGGCAAGCAAGCTGCTTCGTTTAAAAAAACTAAATCCTCAGGCCCTGGGAGTCAGCCGTGTTGCTTGTGGAGCAGAATGAATTTGTGTTGGCTCCTGGTTCCAGCCCTGGCCCCCTGAGCTCTGTGGGGAGCTGGCTGCGGCCGAGTAGCCAAATCCCCGTGCCCCTCAGCAGAGCAGGCGGTGGCTCTGTGCTTGCGTGTGCTGCGATTATGAAGAATTTTAACCACGTTTTTCCATGAGGCACTCAGCCGTGCTGAGCGGTAGCGACCAAGACACCTTGGTGACCGGTGGCTGGCTGGCTGATGCTTGTGCTTGCCCCCGTATTGCTCCTACGTGGTTTTACCCCTTCTCCCTGTCTGGTTCGAGCTTGCTCTGGCACTTCTCTGTTTGTTTATTTGGGCCTGGGACATGAGGCTTGAGTCACTTGTGCTCGCCGTAGCGGGTTTGGATAGATGGAAGCCTTGCGCTCGGTGTCCGTGCGGCATCCTGGGCCAGAAACTCTGCCTGGAGTCCTGGCACTCTGGGGCGGTGATGAGATCCTTGGAAATAGTGATGTCCAGGACAACAGGAGCCAAGTGAACGTAGACGGGTCCTCCTGGGATCTTTTCTCCGCCCCTTTCAGTGGAGCTGTTTCCCTCCTGAGTAACCTCTGTGCTGTCTGCCCCACTTTCCTTCCAGGTGCGCAACGGCCACATCAAGCGAATCACCGACAATGACATTCAGTCGCTGGTGCTGGAGATCGAAGGAACTAATGTCAGGTAGGAAGAGGTGTTGTTCTTCTGCCCTGCTGTGCCCTGCAGCAGAGTGAAAGATGTCGGCGCCCAGCAGACATCTCCTTCAGGCTCTGCTGCAATCTCTTTGTCAGGCCGTTGAAGATATGGTCTGGGCTCAGATCACTGCTCCCCTCTGTGGCTCTGGACTGTGCCTGTCCCTGGGTGTACTTGTAGAGCTCTCTGTCAGCCTCACTGGGGCTAAGGGATAACATAAAAATAAAGTCCTGTTACTTTTTCATCACTTCAGGGATGGAAAAAGCCGTATTTGACACCCAGTCCCCAGTTAGCACCGCCAGTTGCTGAGAAAGCAGCGCCGTCTTTGCATCTTTTATTGTCTTGGGCCCGTTCTCCCCATGGCACGGCTTCTCTCCCGACAGCAGGCAGATCAAAGGGAGACTTATGAGGGAAATTGCTTATGGTGCTTCACTTAGCAACCTCATCTCCATCGACCGGGGAGAGAGACGCCAGCTCCGTGAGCGGCCTCAGTCTCCCAAGGCTTCTCCAGGGGTGATTCAGAGCAGGGAGCTCCTTATAAGGGCAGCGGAGACTCCTCTCCTGCAGACAGGCAGAGCCAGCGCTTCTCCTCTTGCTGAGATGTGTTGATACAGAACTTGCCAGGCGTGACGTGTGCTTCTAGGGCTCGTGAACTCTGCTTTACCCACCGTATAGAGCATGTGGGGGGCCTCTGTGGTGCTCTGGAGGGACCTACCTGTTCAGGCAAAGATAGGAAAAGGTGATGTTAAGAAGCGCCGCGCACGTGGCCTTGAAACTGGGGAGGTGAAGCTGTCCAGGAAGGTGTTTCGTGCCCCGGGGGAGAAGAGTGGGATTTGATACGCATTCTCTTGTTCTCCTCGCAGCTGCCTCTTGAAACTCTCCCTCCTGTTACGGGAAGCCCTGGTCATTGCTGAGATTTTAGGATCACAGCGCTTTCTTTCTGCCTGTCCTCCAAGACTGCGTTGGGTCACGGGAGAGACTCGGCCCTCTGGCTGTGTGCTCTGTGCTACGCGAGATCCTAAAGCGTTTTTCTGTCCCTCGCAGTACCACGTACATCACGTGTCCTGCTGACCCGAAGAAGACCCTGGGCATCAAACTACCTTTCCTAGTGATGATCATCAAGAACCTGAAGAAATACTTCACTTTTGAAGTGCAGGTGAGGAACGTGTGGTGGGGAAGCCCATCCAGGGACCTGTGAGGAGGGTGCCAGGGAGCCTGCGGTCTTGTGTTGGAACTCATCCCAGGCAGTGAGTGGTCCCCAAACCTGTTTTCCTTCCTTGGCCACGTGATGCACGGGGTCTCCTGCCGTGGGGGAATCAGGCAGCTCGCAAGCGTGTCGTTGCTGTTCCTGAAAATGGGTCTGTTTCATGTGTTCAGAATACTCTGAATTGGAGGGGTGGGAGTAGGAGATCCCTCTCTCAGAGACAGGCAGGGCCTGAGTGCAGAAGAGCTGCGGTCTCGGGGAGCCGGGTGCCTGGGTGAGCAGCCTTCCTTCCGTGCCCCAGGTGCTGGATGATAAGAACGTACGCCGGCGCTTCCGGGCGAGTAACTACCAGAGCACAACTCGGGTGAAGCCTTTCATCTGCACCATGCCCATGCGGCTGGACGACGGCTGGAACCAAATCCAGTTCAACCTGTCAGACTTCACGCGCCGGGCTTACGGGACAAATTACATGGAGACCCTGAGAGTTCAGGTGAGCAGCAGGCACATCCCGCCCGCAGAAACCAGTGGTCGGTGATCTTGCCAACTGGGAATCCCGGTTTAACCCGGACTGGTTCCTTTGCCAGTCTCGCTCTGTGGCAGGGGAGCAAAGACCCGGCTGAGGGAGCAGAGGTCTTGGTGCTCATTTTACTGGACTGGACTGGGGTGAAGGAGCCAGTTTCCATCTTGTTTCTCTTGCTGACTGTCGGTTAGGGTGAGAGTCACAGCCCTCCTAACGCTCCCCGCGGCGTGCCAGGCGTCCTTCTGGCTGGAGGTCTACTGGGATTGGTGTTGCAGTGCCCGGTGACGTGCGTTATTTTGAGGACCGCCTGTGTGCCTGTTCCTTAGTGTGACGGGACTGCTACGGTTGCCCTGAGGTGAACAGGGAGGTGTCTGCCCCCGTCACGTACCCATGGTGGGGACCGGAGCGACTCCGCTGATAGCAGAGGCAGCGCAGACTGTACAATCTCATTCCTGACCTCAGGGAGGCCCTGGAGAGGGAGTGTTAAAAATGCAGCAAGCTGAGGCTGAGAGCGTGCTGGCAAATGCTGATGCCAGCGGAGAAGCAGACATGGGTTCTCGGCAAAGAACCCTCTAAGCAACCCTCTGAGGCAGATCTCAATTTGCGGAGATGTCAGAGCTGGGCCAAGTCTCTGGAGACGATTTCCAGCACTAGAGAGAACGTGTAACGCCAAGCGGAGGGCGTGGGCCAGCCTTTCTTCTCTGATGCCCTGTTGGATTCAGAGAGGAGCAGCGAGGTCTCTTTGGCTGCTGAGCCAAGGAATCCAGGCCGCTGCGTGACAGCGAAGCCAGATACAGGAAGAGCTTGCAGAAAATGGACTGACTCTTTGTTTCTGACTCTCAGATCCACGCCAACTGTCGCATCCGACGGGTGTACTTCTCTGACCGGCTCTACTCAGAGGATGAGCTCCCAGCTGAGTTCAAGCTGTATCTGCCTGTCCAGAACAAGGCCAAGGTGCGCAAGCTGTGGGCAGGGAGGGTGGGAGCAGCAGCTGGGCCAGGCTGGCCTTCCTCCTCCTCCCGCTGCCCTCACAGTGCAGAGTTTCTTCCAGCAGCAGAGCTCTTACCAGCTTTGGCTGCCAG